AGCTTAGAATAACAGTGTTACTGATACTACAGTCCCAATACCATGCTAAATACTTTATACACATTACCACCTCTAATCCTTGCTACAGCTGGGTACTATTATTATGTCCACTTTTATAAATTTGGAAACTGACATTCAGTGAAGTGATTTGTCTACAAATTAAACACACAGGTTATTAGGAGTCAAGATTTGAATCCTGGTTTAATTCTAAATACTATGCTAGAACTATATTCACATTATCAAGCCTCAGTGATTAAGGAAATTTCCTCCATTCTAAGGGAAAAGGAAAGAGTTCATAACTGGTATCACCCTGAGATGTCTATAACAAATCATGATCAGCATGCAGCTTCAGCTTTTAGAAAGGATCCTTCTATATCCATGTCTATTCCCCACAAGTAGAGAAAAACTAAGCCTTAGGAAAAGAGCTTCCTGGGTAGTTCAGCTGGTAAAGAATCTGTCTGCAATGCAGGAGACCCTGGTTTGATCCCTGGAGACAGGATAGGCTACCCACTTCAAAATTCTCACCTGGAGAACCTCCATAGATAGAGGATCCTGATGGGCTACAGTCCATGGGGTCGTAAAGAGTCGGACATGACTAAGCATCTTAGCACAATACAGTCATGGCAAGTATAATTAAAGGTATGGTCTTATTTCTGACACTAGATCTAAACTCTCTCAATATCACCAAATTTTATTAAATCTGAGATATATATTTTTTCACATTAACATTTCTGAAACAAAGATGTGTCCTACAGTCAAAGGTATTTCATGATTTAACTGGCAGCTTCTTTTTTCTTCATGTATGTAAAATAACAATGCATCTTATAATCAATGATATCTTAAACTTGATAAAAGTATGAAACACAGACCCAATAGAGATCTAGCAAGAGAATAAGTTTAAACACCAAGTATTATGTTTGGATTTATTCTTTAATTCCTAGAAGTCCTAGAAGAAATCGATTTCATCAGTTCACCACCAATGGAATTAAGGAGAAGAAATATTATATCAAATCCTACATCTACCTCACCAAGAAACAAGCCCAGATAATGTCCAAGATCTCACATACATGAAAGTGTCGGGTATAGCTCCTATGATCCTATGACAAATTATGAACCCACAAACTGTGATAATATGTTCTTAAAGCCAGCCCTGAATGGCAAGCTGTACCCCAGAGAAATCAAATCAGGATATAGCTTAAACATAATTCACTTGTTTTTCTTGTCCAAAAGCATATTCCATACCAAGTAGAATACTATGCCTTCACTGAACTACCTCCAACCTTCCATCCTACTAGCGTTTTTGAGGACTGGGTATTCTGGTAATAAACATATCTCAATCGTATAAAAGAAGAGTAAGTTTGCACCTTCTAAATGAGATGTACAATTTCTATATATATAAATTAAATTTCATAGCACAGAGTGACACAGCAGAAGGCACTTCCAATCTCTTCATTTTACAAATAAATAAAGATTCAAAGGAAAAGAAACTGGTTTAAGATTACATAAATCAAATGCCACAAATCCATGATAAAGAGGGCTAAAACCCAGAACATGAGGTTGTCAGTTCAGTTCAGTTCAGTCACTCAGTTGTGTCTGACTCTTTGCGACCCCGTGGACTGCAGCACACCAGGCCTCCCTGTCCATCACCAACTCCCGGAGTTTACTCAAACTCATGTCCATCAAGTTGGTGATGCAGTCCAATCGTCTCACCCTCTGTCACCCCCTTCTCCTCCCACCTTCAATCTTTCCCAGCATCACGGTCTTTTCAAATGAGTCAGCTCTTTGCTTCAGGTGGCCAAAGTATTGGAGTTTCAGCTTCAACATCAGTCCTTCCAATGAATATTCAGGACTGATCTCCTTTAGGATGGACTGGTTGGATCCCCTTCCAGTCCAACGGACTCTCAAGAGTCTTCTCCAACACCACAGTTCAAAAGCATCAATTCTTCGATGCTCAGCTTTTCTTATAGTCCAACTCTCACTTCCATATATGACTACTGAAAAAACAATAGCCTTAACTAGACAGACCTTTGTTGGCAAAGTAATGTCTCTGCTTTTTAATATGCTGTCTAGGTTGCTCATAACTTTTCTTCCAATGAGTAAGCGTCTTTTAATTTCATGGCTGCAGTCACCATCTGCAGTGATTTTGGAGCCACAAAAAAAAATAAAAGTCTGCCACTGTTCCTACTGTTTCTCCATTTATTTGCCGTGAATTGATGAGATAGGATGCCATGATCTTTGTTTTCTGAATGTTGAGCTTTAAGCCAACTGTTTCACTCTCCTCTTTCACTTTCATCAAGAGGCTCTTTAGTTTGTCTTCACTTTCTGCCATAAGGGTAGTGTCATCTGCATACCTGAGGTTATTGATATTTCTCCCAGCAATCTTGATTCCAGCTTGTGCTTCATCCAGCCCAGCATTTCTCATGATGTACTCTGCATATAAGTTAAATAAGCACGGTAACAATATACAGCCTTGACGTACTCCTTTTCCTATTTGGAACCAGTCTGTTGGTCAATGTCTGGTTCTAACTGTTGCTTCTTAACCTGCATACAGGTTTTTCAAGAGGCAGGTCAGGTGGTCTGGTATTCCAATCTCTTTCAGAATTTTCACAGTTTATTGTGATCCACACAGTCAAAGGCTTTGTCATAGTCAATAAAGCAGAAATAGATGTTTTTCTGGAACTCTCTTGCTTTTTCGATGATCCAGCAGATGTTGGCAATTTGATCTCTGGTTCCTCTGCCTTTTCTAAAACCAGATTGGGGTTGCCAATCTAGTCTAAATTTTGCTTATCACATTACCTATTAGTTGGCACAGAAAATAAAGTGCTAAAAAAACAGGAAACAACAAAAAATTGGCATGAAAAATTGTGCTTTGGTTTTAGACAGCAAAGGATTTAAAGACCCAAGTTGAAAACACACTTACATCACTGGTGTATCACTCAATTGATATGTTAAGGCTCTATGAATAAATCACTTACTTCCCCTGAGCCTAAATAATTTCTCTGTATATGCAAAATGTGGGTAACAGTACCTGTACTGACAGTCTCTCAATGTCATCATGAGAATAAAGTGAGATAATTTATGGACAAGCATATACAAACTGAAGTAGTGTTGTCATAATTAATAATGAGAATAGTATGAGAAGAAAGGAAATAGGAAAATGAGAGATAGGACATTTAAAATAACTGTGCCATAAAAAATGAGATCTACTGTATAATACAGAGAACTATACTCAATATCCTAGGATACACTGCAAAGCAATTATCCTCCAATTTAAATTTTAATAAATGATGTTTTTAAAAGAGGAAAAAATATCATATGATAAACCATACTGGAAAAGAATATTTTAAAATAGAGTGAATGTATAACTGAATCACTCTGCTGTAGAGCAGTAACTAACACAACACTGTAAATCAATTACACGTCAAGAAAAAAATAACTATGACAAATACACAGTTTTGCCTGGAGCCGCTTTGGTCTTCAACTTACAGAAGACAAAAAATCCTTCAATGTTATTCATTTATGCATACATGCAGGAACATACACACAATTACCTGAATGTGTATATCATATACCCATATTCACTCATATATACTTAAAGTGGACTTTTTATATTCCACACATACAGAAACCCACAGAGCTGCTTCCATAAACATAAACAGTATTTGTACATATCTACACACATACACATAAAAAGAGATTATTTCAAAGACTCTGCTCTGAAGCTTTCAAAACCAGCTCCTAATCTGACATCTCCATGACAAACTCTTGAAAACACAAACCCTAATCTAGAAAACTTTCCTACCCACAATCTCTCACACCCAATACTGCCTTGGAATAACACTCCCTCAGTGAAAGAAGTGCGACAGATCCAGCGGGGACAGATATCAGGAAGGGAATATGCTAAGGACATGTATAAGGCTCTGCTGGGCACCACTATGCAGAATGAGCAAAGCTGCAGTTTGTCATCCTCACCATCTGTGCCCTTTGCTATAAGCCAGATACTTGCTGGGAAAAGCATCCTTCAAAACCAGTTAGTTCATCCTGGTTCTCACTTTCCCCAACAACACTGACCTTTAAAAGAGACAACAGTAACACCAGCATTAAGCACTAAACTCAGTTAAGAACAGTGGTTAAGAGACCACTAATTTAGCCACAATAGAAAGGCATTTGGGGCTCTAATGTTTGCAGAACAAGAGGAGACTGGAAGTGGTATATACTAAAGATACTACTTGCCCTAAAATTCTAAGATGCTATATAAAAGGCAAGTTTTCAGAAATGTAGGCCTTCTTAGGACTTGCTTAAGAAAAAAAAAACTCTCTCTGCCATGGAAGGAGGTGTTTCAAGTAAGAGCTACTAGAGGCAAGTGGTAATTCCTAGTCCACGAATTAGGAGACCTGGACACTAATCCCAATTCTGGTATGAAAAACATTCTGAAAAACACAGCCCTTTATACAGAGACAAAGAATACATCTAAAGAACATATATTATTATTGGCCTTTTTTCATTTGACTGATAAAAATTAGTTCCTTGAAGAAGAAATTGGGCTTGCCTACTTAAATGTGTTATTACATAACTTATTGATATTGAAAACAATGATGATAACAATTGCTACATTTCCATGGCGCTGTTTTATAACCTGCAAAGAATTTTCACATCAATGAGCTCATTTATTCTCATTACAACCTCTTGAGATAGGAAATAACGTCCCCATTTTGAAGCTGAAAGAAATGAAGTAATTACTAAAACCTAGTCAGTATCAGAATCCAGATTTTCTAGCACAAAGTCTATGTTTTTAAACATAATATCACAGTATTTTTTAGAAACATGCAGTTTTAGAGTAAAGACTCAAGTTTGATGCAAAAACCCAACATCGTAGCTCTCAAATTTCAATATTCCATCTTAGTGAAAGTGCCATCTCTCCTCTTCCCATAATGTTCTTCCTTCACATCAGTGGACATCCAATATGAAAACATTTTTTTCCCTTAGACTGTCCTGGACACAATCTCCATACCTGTAAAGCTCATGTACTTCTGGCTGTTGGAGGTCTTCTTTGAGTTATAAAATTCCAACACATCCAGAACAGCCTGCGGGTTTTTCTTCTGCTCCGACTTTGTGATATTTGATGTCTGAAGCAAGCGGGCCCATTGCTCCGGCATCCCCTGTAAGAGAGATATGCAAGGCTGTCAGCAAGGCACAGTCACAGGGACCCTGAAGCAAATTCAGAACTCACTGTGGAGTAGAAGATTGGTTCAAGATGGGGAAGCAGAAGGACAAGTGCTCACCTCCTCCTCCAAAACTCACAACTAACTGCTGAATAGTTAGCTAGTCTGCTGGAACCCACCAAAAAAAAAAAAAATCCAAAGACAAAGGTATAGGCCCAATGAGACCGTAAGAGAGGCACAATCACTGTAAAACCAAATCCAATATCCGCCAGGTGGGAGACCCACAAACTGGAGAACAATTATACCACACAAAAGTTCTGCCACTGTTGTGAAGATTCTGAGCCCTACGTCAGGCTTCCCAGACTAGGAGTCTGGCAATGGCACTAGGAATCCCCAGAGAATCTAACTTTGAAGGCCAGTGAGATTTGACTATACAACTTCCACAGAACTAGGGGAAACACACTCCACTTTTGGAGAGCACATATAAAACGTTGAGCCCAACAGGACTCAGGGGAAAGGAGCAGAGACCCCATAGGAGAATGAAGCAAACCTATCTGCTAGTGCTGTAGAGTCTCCTGAAGAGGCAAGCAGCGGCTGAGGCTCACCAGTGACAAGGGCGCTGACAGCAGCACTACCCATTGGCATGAGCCCTCCTGGAGACTGCCATAGCCCTATCATAGAGCTCCAGGGTTGGGTCACCTCAGGCCAAACAACTAACAGGGAGTGAACACAGTCCCACCCATCAGCAGACAAGTAGATTAAAGTCCCTGCCCACCAGAGCAAAATCAAGAATACTATACCCAGTGAGGCTCTCATTTAGATTTGACATGGAAATCAAAAGATTTAAAGACAAGCAAAAAGTAAGAGAATTCAGCACCAGCAGACCCGATCTTTGCAACAAATGCTAAAGGAACTCCTCTGGGTGGGAAAGAGACCAGCAACTTTAAAAAAGAAAACATATATATTATGTATTGTTATATCAAAACCTCATGGGTGCAGCAAATCCAAAAACTACATTGTGTGTTAGTCACTCAGTCATATCCGACTCTTTGCAATGCCAAGGACTGTAACCTGCCAGGCTCCTCTCTCCATGGGATTCTCCAAGCAAGAATACTGGAGTGGGTTGCCATTTCCTTCTCCAGGGGATCTTCCTGACCCAGGGCTTGAAGCAAGGTCTCCTGCATTGCAGGTAGGCTCTATAAATACACATAAGCAAAAGAAAGAGCAACCCAAACACAACACTAAAGATGGTAATCAAACCACAAGAGAACAAAGGAGAAAGGGAAGAATAAAGACCTGTGAAACAAACTCAGAACAATTAACGAAATGGCAATAGGAATATACATATGGATAATTACCCTGAATGCAAATAGATTATATGTGCCAACCAAAACACAAAGACCGGCTGGGTGGATACAAAAACAAGACTCATATATACGCTGTCTACAAGAGCTCACTTTAGAACTAGGGATACATACAGACTGAAGGTGAGGGGTTGGAAGATGGTATTCCATGGAAATCAAAATAAAAAGAAAACTGGAGTAGCAATACTCATACCAGACAGAACAGACTGTAAAACTAAGACTGTTATGCGAGACAAAGAAGGGCACTACATAATGATCAAGGGATCAATCCAAGAAGATATAAAAACTGCAAACATATATGCACCCAACATAGGAGCACCTCAATATACAAGGCAAATTCTAACAACTGTAAAAAGGGAAATCAATAGTAATGCAATAGTAGTGCAAATTCAGCACCACTAATTATTAGAGAAATGCAAATCAAAACCACAATGACTATTACCTCACACCAGTCAGAATGTCCATCATCAAAAAACCCCCAAACAATAAATGCTGGAGATGGTGTGGAGAGAAGAGAACCCTCCTACACTGTTGGTGAGAATGCAAATTGGTACAGCCACTATGGAGAACAGTATGGAGGTTTAGTTTAAAAAACTAAAAATAGAGCTACCATATGACCCTTCAACCCCACTCCTGGGCATACAGCCGAAGAAAAATATGATCTGAAAGGATACATGTATTCCAGTGTTCATTGCAGACACTGTTTACAATAGCCAAGAAATAGCCAACAGAAGCAACCTAAACATCTGACAGAGGAATAGATAAAGAAAATGTGGTATAGACAGACAATGGAATACTACTCGGCCATAAGAAAGGATGAAATGACGTCATTTGCAGCAACATGGATGGACATACAGATTGTTATACCGAGTGAAGTAACTCAAACAGAGAAATATCATATGATACCCCTTATATGTAGAACCTGAAAAGAAATAACACAACTAAACTTGCTTATAAAACAGAAACAGACCCACACAGAGAACAAACTTATGGTTATGGAGGGAAAGGGGTGGGGAGGGATAGTTAGGGAGTTTGCGATCACCACCTACACACTGCTGTATTTAAAACAGATAACCAGCAAGGTCCTACTGTATAGCACAGGGAGGTCTGCTCAATGTTATGAGGCAGTCTGGATGGAAAAGGAGTGTGGGGGAGAATAGATACATGTATATGTATGACTGAGTACCCCTGCTGTCCACCAGAAATTCACAACATTGTTAATTGGCTATCAGTCAGTTCAGTCACTCAGTCAAGTTTGACTCTTGGCAACCCCATGGACTGTATCACACCAGGCTTCCCTGTCCATCATCAATTCTCAGAGCTTGCTCAAACTCATGTCCATCCAGTCGGTGATGCCATCCAACCATCTCATCCTCTGTCATCCCCTTCTCCCCCTACCTTCAATCTTTCCCAGCATCAGAGTCTTTTCTAATGAGTCAGCCCTTCGATCAGGTGGCCAAAGTATTGGAGCTTCAGCGTCAGTCCTTCCAATGAATATTCAGGATTGATTTCCTTTAGGATTGCCTGGTTTGATCTCCCTGCAGTCCAAGGTACTCTCAAGAATCTTCTCCGACACCACAATTCAAGAGCATCAATTCTTTGGTGTTCAGCTTTCTTTATGGTCCAACTCTCACATCTATACATGACTACTGGAAAAAGCATAGTTTTGACTACACAGACCGTTGTTGGCAAAGTAATGTCTCTGCTTTTTAATAAGCTATCTAGGTTTGTCACAGCTTTCCTTACAAGGAGCAATACTCCAATATAAAATAAAAACAATTTTTTTAACTTTTTTAAAAGAACAAATTTTGATAACTGATAGCAGCTAAAGATGAGTTTAGTCATTCCTTTCTCTGCCTTCAGAGCTTCTCACAGGCCTCTCTTACAATACATCTTACTGTATCAGTTAACTTCTTGAGATGTTTGCTCCTCACCAGGCTATTCCTCCTTTAAAGCATGAACCTTGTCTGATTTGTCTCTGGATCATCAATGCCCAGCACAGAGTCCCTGCCAAAAGGCCACTTAACTGAGGTCTATTTAAGGAATGGAGATTCAAAGGCTTCTCTGGTACAATTCTGGAAGTGCAGAAACAGTCCTCTCAAGAACATGAGACGATAGTAATAAGGGTCTCAGGCAAAGAGAGAAGTATCAGGAAGTCTGGAAAAGATTAAATCTAACAATGCATAGCCAGAACTCTGAAAGACCAAATGTCTTTCTGTGACCCAAAACTTACTGTAAACTCGCCTGTGACAGCATCAAAACCAACATGAATTGTGTGCTCAAAATCTGAAGGAAGAGAAATCTCTGGCCGTTCCTTCTCCTTCTTTTTATTTGCTGCAAGAGAAACAAGAAAAAGGAGATAAAAGCAAGGATATTACTACATCTTTATTTATTTAGCTCTTTTGTTGAGCTCTAAGCTCTTTTAAAGGACAAGGTCTATGATACAAATTCACCTGTGTATTTAGAGCCCAAAACCAGACCTAGATTGAAGTAGATGCTCAATTCATGATTAAAGGTTTAATTTTTTCATTGAACTAAAGTAAGCCAGGAGCAGAAAGAACATTTATCAGAATGTCCTGGTTTTACCACTAATGAGTTTGTTGATTCAGGGCAACTAACCTCCTTTTTCTGAACCCTGGTTTCCCCATCTGCAAAATGAGAAGACTCAAGTAAACGGTCTCTAAAGAGCCTTCCAACCCAGATATCTTACATTCTATGAGCTTCTAGAACCTGCTTCAACCTTTTGATTCTTGATTATGGATCACTTTAAGGTTCTCCACATTATGGAATTTTAGATTTGGAAACTGTTTCTTAAAATGAGTATCTAATAATTAATCAAGTGCAATGATTCAAGTTACTTTTTTCTATTATAATTGATTTACATTATTAGTTTCAGGTGAACAACACTGTGATTCAGTATTTCTATAAACTATCCTCCATTTAAAGTTAGTATAAAATATTGGCTATATGCCCTGCACTGTAAAATATATCTCTGTATCTTATGTATCAATTCAAGTTCTCCATATGTAATAATATTCACTGTGGCCTCACAGCAACATTATCAGTCAGGTACTACCATTCTTATTTTGCAGATAAAGATGCTGAAGCATAGAGACTAAGTTATTCGCCCAAGATCAAATGGTTAGTAACAGCAGCAGTCAGACTCAAATCCAGGCAGTCTGGCCCAGGCCCTAAGTTCTAAACCACTATTCTATGCTGCCACTCTAGGCTAGGACCTCAGAGAATCATTAAGTCCAAATATCTGTAATCATCAAGGGTGCTGCATCAAGTAGGTGTTCACTGAAGGTCTGCTGATCTGGCACAAAAAGCTTCAATATTTACAGTTATTGTGTCCTTGTCATACTCTTGTGTTCCCCCCAAATTCATATATTCTAACTCCCAGTGCCTCACAGTATGATCTTATTTGGAAACAGGGCCATTGCGGATATAATTATTTAAAATATGATTAGGTATTACTGGAGTACATTCAGTCCCTAATCCTGTCAACGTCCTTATAAATAGGGGATATTTGGAGACAAATGCACACAGGAGATAAATGCAGAGATCACAGCAGTGCTTCTTCAAGCCTAACAAATTTTTCCTCCCAGATCTCAAAAGGAACCAACCCTACAAACACCTTCATCTTGGACTTCCAGCCTCCAAACTGAAACAATAAATTTCTTGTTTAAGCTCCTTGTTTGGGGTAATTTGTTGCAGCAGCTCTAGCAAACTAATATAACCCTCTCCCAACCAAAAAGAATTTCAGGTCTTGGTATTAGCTAGACCTAGTCTATTGGAGCCTCAATGCAATTGTGTAACAAGTAGGATAGTGACACTGGTGCCCATTTGACAGAAGAAACCAGAAATTTCAAGAAGTTAAGTAGCCTTTCCAAGATACAGAGCAAGTTAGCAGCAGATCTGGGGCCAGGACTGAGGTCTTCAGGCTCCCTCCCAGCCCCAAAGCCTTTGTATTCTGTCACTCCTACTATATATAAAATAGATAATGAGGACCTACAGTATAGCACAGGGAACTCTACTCAATACTCAATAATGGCCTACATGGGAAAAGAATTCAAAAAAGAGTGGGTATATGTATGTCAGATTCACTTTGCTATATACCTAAAACTAACACAGCATTGTTAACCAACCCCAATAAAAAAGCTTTTTAATAAAATATTGGGTTGAAAAAAATTTTCATTCAGGCTTTGAGAACTCTGCTCTACAGACATATCCTCTACTTTATCTCCCACTACAGGAAAACCTTGTTTTACTATGCTTGGAGTTACTATACTTCACAGTAACTAAGTACTTTTTACAAATTGATAATTTGGGCAACCTTGCATTACCAGATGATGATTAACATATTTTAGTGATTAAAGTATTTTTCAATTAAGGTATGTACACTGTTTATTTAAAAATAATGTCCACTTAATAGACCACAGTACAGTGTAAACATAACTTTTATATTCATTTGGAAACCAGAAAAATTCATGCAACTCCTTTTACTGTAACGCTCACTCTATTGGGGTAATCAGAACTAAACCCACAGCATCTCCAAGGCATGCTTGTACTTAGGTTTCATACAGTCTACACCAAATACACAGAACCAGTGGTAATGGTCCACCTTTAGCACATAATGTGCTCTTCCACACCTCTTGACTTTGTCTCTAGTTACTCCCTTTGCCTATAAATCCTGTCTTTCCCTTTCCCTTCCCTTGCTACACCACCACACAAACCCTTTCCTTTATCCTTGTCAGGTCTCAGCTTAAAGGTCATCTCTTCTGTGAAGTCGTCTCTGATCTCTGCACTGGGGTGTTCACCTTCCCCTCTGTTCCCACATCCATGATAGTTATTGCCTACTTTCAGAGTTTATTTTTCTAAGCAGACTCAGTTCTAAGTGCAGGGATCATGCCCAACTTACCATGAATCCCCAACAGCTAGCAAAAGCCAGGCATAAAACAGGTGTTCAGACAATGAGTGAAGAAAGAACAAATGATCAAACACCTAACTCAACCTGGCAAGAAATCTAAGGAATCTGCCTAAGACATGCAAATTCTCTCCAGGGCAGGACTGCATGCTTCATTTTTACCAGCTCTGACCTGAAGTACACAATCCTGTTTTAAAATCCTGTTCTGTGGTAGCTCAACACACTGGCCAAAAGATATTCTGAAGTCCTAATGCCTCCAATAGACCCAACACAACCCTAAAGAAAGGCAGCTTTTGGCCGAGTGGGGAGCTAGGGAAGGTGAGGACAAAAAGGTCTAAAAAATCCAGGCCAGTTTTGCCTCTACTATACCACATAGTGCAGGTTGTCAGTTTTCTCATCTGAAAAATGTGGAAAATGAACTAGATGATCTTAAGTGCTCTTTCAGCTCCTACATTCCAAATATCTATGAAAACAGAAAGATCAGCACTCTCAAAGCCCTGTAACTACATCTCTTCCTGACACAGCATCCCACAGTTTTAATAGGTACTTCATATATATCATCTCATATAATCACCACAATCCTGAGAATCAATTTTTATTTGGACACTATGAAACTGAAATATGGACTTGTCTACAGTTATGTAAGTAATTTAAATTTTTTTAAATGTGGCTTTAGAGCCAAGGCCCTTTTCTACTACTTTACCCCCTCTAAACAATTTCAAGCTGCATCAAGAAAACTTCTTCTGTTATGAAGAGGAGAAATAACATTAAAGAAGAGCTAACCACATATAAGATACTAGAATATTTTCCTTAATTGTCACAATCCTATGGGATATATTATTACTACTGTCATTTTACAGATGAGGAAACTTAAAAGCAGCTAAATAATTTGCTCAAGCTTATACAGCTAGTAAGAGATGAATTTGAACCCAGGTCTGATTCCAAAGGTTCTTCCCTTAGTATCTTAATGAGCACCATTTGCCAACATTCCAACTGTTAGGGTTTAAGCTATTTTTACACTTGGCAATTTTCCTTTCAGAAGCAGATGCTTTGTGAAAGGGAAGGGCTTGCTATGGCCCAAATTAAGCATCATTTATGACTTAAGTCCATCTGTCTTACTCATAGCTAGAATGCACTGGACATGTTGCAAGGCTTTAGAATTGCTTTCTGTTCCTAAATTTCTCCTGATCTAGTCAGTTAAAAGATTGTAGGGAAGAACACTTTTACATTATTTTTATGTTTTACCTAGATTTTTTGTTTTCCAGATCTAATATTTTTATATATTATTTCTATGATATGTTATTAATATGCCATATAATATACCCATCACAGGCACAGAATGTCAAAAGGAACCTTGGTAATGGAAACAAAGAGAGTGGTTCACAGGATGAATAGTCTATAGAAAAGAGACCCTGGGAAATGAAATCACTTAACACTTGAACATATAAAGAATATCTGAGATTAGCAGTTTCAAGAGGCTTATCATTTTGGCCTCAGCTTCAAATATTGAGTACGTGTCCCAGAGAGCTAGGCCCACGTCCAGAGTTTAGAGTTCTGCTTCTGACATTACAGAGAACTCTTGAGAACTTCTTGGGAAACCTTTCCTTGGGTCTGCTTAGTCCTAGTGCACAAAATTTTTTAATGTGGCCCCTCCAATAGCCCTGTCTAAACCAACTGGAAATACAGCCTACATACAAGAAGAGAAAGGTATTTTCCCAGGACCACTCTTCAATTCATTTTTGGAGGAACCTCATTAAGAGTTGTTACTTTGTACATCTCAAACAACTTTTAGGTGTTAATCACAGATTTCAAAAGAAAACCATGACAGCAAGCAATAATAGCCACAAAATTACTACCAACTGTTAATAAAGCTTCAGTTTGCATCTTTAGTTTTAATAACCCAATCAGGGACTTCCCCGGTGGTCCAGTGGCTAAGACTTTGTGCTCCCAATGCAGAGGCCCCGGGTCCCCTCCCTGGCCAGGGAACTAGATCCTATATGCCACAACTAAGATACAATGCAGACAAATAAATAAATATTTTAAAAATAATAATAATCCACTCAACAACTCTAAGAGATAAATATTATTATGTACCCATACTACAGGTTGATTTCCCACATGGCTCAGATGGTAAAGTGCCTACCTGCAACGCGGGAGACCCAGGTTTGATCCCTGGGTTGGGAAGATCCCCTGGAGAAGGAAATGGCAACCCACTCCAATACTCTTGCCTGCAAAATTCCACGGACAGAGGAACCAGGTAAGCTACAGTCCATGTGGTCACAAAGGATTGGACACGACTGAGCGAATTCACTTTCACTTTCACAGGTTAGATAATTGAGATGAAGAAAGGTAGAGCAACTCACCAAAGGTCACAAAGTCAGGGATGGTCAATGGTAATAACCTCAAG